CAATTGAATAATGAACTTAAAATCCACCAAAATTATAATTGAATCAGCATCCACTGTCGTAGGGAGAAATTCACAATTAGCACATCACAATCCAGTACCATGGTGGAACGACAAATGCCAAGCAGCAACAATTGAGTGTAAACGTTTTTTCAATAGATTGAAACGACACTTCTACCTTGAAAACAAAGTCGAATTCAATAGACTCTGAGCTCGCCAGCGATTTTTTCTAAAGCAAAGCCAACGGAAAACCTGAAAAAATTATGTAAGCACTTTGAACCAACACACTGAAGTATGGGGAAAGTAAACAGGATCAGGTCGAAAGGAAATCACATAATTTCCTTCCTTGTTGATGACGTCACATTAAACAGTCGCGAGATTGCTAACATTTTCTGATAATTTCCAACAACAGTCCAGTGACATCAACTTCGACAATAACTTTAAAGAAATGAGGAAAATCATAGACGCCAAACCATTTTTAATTGAAAATGACGATGAAAATTCACTAAATATCGATATAACCATGTACAAACTCAAAGAGATGTTGTCTAAAGTGAAAGGCCATACTCCGGGGCCTGATGACATTCCTCATATATTTCTTACAAAACTCCCACAATCTGGCAATTATCTTCTAGGGATTTACAACACATTATAACGTACCCGACAATTTTCCACATCGTGCTCTAACTCTATTGTACTGCCTCTTTTGAAACAGAATGAATCTCCATCTGATCCCAATTCATATAGACCTATTTCCCTTATCTCTACCATGTGTAAGGTGTTACAGATAATTCTGAACGCCAGACTAAAGTTTTTCCCAGAGAGAAATAACCTAATAATTCCCCAACAAAGTGGATTTTGCAAGAACCGCTCAACAACAGACAATCTGGTTATCCTACAGTCAACCATCCACGAGTCTTTCACAAACTGACACAAGGTTATAGCCCTTTTTTTTTAATATTCGTCGAGCATTCAATACAGTTTGGAATCGCAACATATTGGAACAGATGAAAAAGTGGGATATCCAAAGAAACTACCTGCTTTTATAGAAAATTTTTTGAAAAACAGATCCTTTTTTGTGAGAGCTAATGGCATAGCATTGTTATACGAGGACGACCTAGTCCTATTTCTAGTCCTAGTCCTATTTGTCAGTGGCAGAAATATAAACACATTGGAGTCACTTCTTTAGGAGGCGATTTTGGAACAGATGAAAAAGTGGGATATCCAAAGAAACTACCTGCTTTTATAGAAAATTTCTTGAAAAACAGATCCTTTTTTGTGAGAGCTAATGGCATAGCATTGTTATACGAGGACGACCTAAACCTATTCCTAGTCCTAGTCCTATTTGTCAGTGGCAGAAATATAAACACATTGGAGTCACTTCTTTAGGAGGCGATTTCAAGTCTTCAATTATGGTCCCTCAATACAGGATTCCAATTTTTCATCAACGAAGACCAAATGCCTCCTATTTTCCAAAAAGCAAGCAACTACTTTCCCAAACTTTACACTTAATGAATTTGTTGAGGAAACTAAATTTCTTGACATGACAAACTAAATTGGATCACCCATACGTAATATTAAGAAATCTTGTCAGAATGGTATGAATCTGATGAAGGTTTTATCCAATCACACCTGGGGAGCAAACTGCAATACCTTGTTTCAATCTATTGGGCTCTAATAAGACCCAAATTAGACTATGGGTGTATTGCCTACTCTACTGCAAAGAAGTCACCTCTTAAACTGCTTGATGTTATTCAACATGCCACCATCGGGATAGCCTTTAGAGCATTCTGTAGTGGTACAGTGGAGGGTTTATTTATTGAAACAAGAGAACAGCCCCTTGATCTTCGCAGTGAATACATGACCATGACTTACGCTGCAAGAATCTCCGCTAATGTAAACAACCCCGCCTATCATTATACCTTCAATAATAGATTTTCCCATCTATTTGATCAAAATTATTAGGTTGCATTACCAGTGTTAGGAATCACACGTTAAAAGGTAAGACCTCGTTAATACTTAGCTGGCACAAGTTTCAACTTCCGAGGGTTGTAGGAGTTCAACAGCTGGTTAACGGAAAAACAGATTTCAAACAGATTTTAAATACATTTTAAACAGATTACCTCTCTATGCAAAAATGTAAAAAATTCTTAATAATCCTGTAGCTCCTAAAAATGTTATGTAATCTGGTTTCTGCTCTTCACCACCATGGACCATAAAGATCCCATCCTGTAACACCCAACTCTCCGCTCTCCGCTCACAGGAAAAATGATAACCCACCAATTTTTATCCAGAAAGCTTTCTCTGAATCAATCTCCAACTCCAACAATCACTTATACACAGATGCCTCGAAATCTTCTGAGTGTGTGGGAGCAGCCGTCATCACAAATTATACGGAGCTTGCTTATCGTCTGCCGTCAATCTATATAAGTGAATTGTATGCCATTGCCCAAGCCGTAGCACACTGTGAAAGACTAGAAGGTAACACTGTTATTTTCACCGATTCTCTCAGCGCAATCCACGGAATCAGACAGTTATACCCAAACAATGCACTGCTTGTTTGTATTAAGAAAGGGTTAACCAAACTAATGCAGGATCAAAAATGTATTAAACCAGTCTGGATACCTTTCCATACTGGAATCAGAAGCAACGAGAAAGCCGATGCAGCCGCTCGCAATATTACTATTACTCCTTCCGTAACTCTGAAAAAATTTCCCACACAGATTATTTCAATACAATAAGGAAACGACCAACAAACATTTGGAAAGAAAGATGGATGTTCATGAAAACAAATAAATTACGAGGGATAAATCCCGACATGCGCTCCCAAAACTACCATTTGACCTAAAAAAGATATCAAGTCATTCTTACTCGTCTTAGGGACACACAAGACTGTAGTGTGATCAACAGTGTGAAGCACATGATCGTGGAGTACCCAGTTTTTGAATATGAAAGACAAGAGGCAAGACTTCCCAGTGGTTTCAGTTCTGCATTGCGGTTGATGCGGTTATTTTGAAATTAAAAAAATAGCTCGTTGTTAGATATCAAAAATTCTTACGGTAAGTACTAAGTGACACTACCAAAGAAATGTATGCTAGACTAATGACGGGAATAGTGCATAGTAAGCCTATAATAATACTTCAATTCTAACACTTCTGTTCAATTTTTTTTAAAGATAGGTTGTCCTGCATAGTTTGTTTGGTAAGTAGTCCAGAAGATACTACAGTGAGAGATGAGTCAAGCATTACTTCAAAATGTTTCCTATTTGACTTCACTTCCATGATATAATTTCTAAGAGAAAGAACAATATAGTCAGTTTTTAGAGTTTTTTTAACAGAGCCTGTTTCAGTTGAACCCGTCATCAACCTTCAACTGTGCCTCTCTAATGTTCTACTCCGATTTAATTATGAAAACATTTTTTCAGTCAATGCTGTATCATCAGCGAAGAGGACAACCTCAGTGCTTGGCAATCCGCGTCATTAATGTAGATCAAGAACGGAAACAGACCTATTACCGAACCCTGAGGAATCCTTTATCCCACCGTCGATATATTAGAACATTGTTTATTAACTGTGTGAAAGCTATTTTCCTGTTTTTCTGGCCGTGGTTTGCAGGTTTTCATGCCTGACGTTTCGTCTACTACTGTGGTATACATTATCAAAGGCGATGCAATAACGGTCGCAGTGTCCGAGTTGGTGTTCAAGTTGTTGTTCCAAACGTGGCTGGTATTTGACTCTGGTTTTATACTGTTATTAGTGGGCATGGCTTGGTTTCTCTTAGTTGGATTACCCGATCTTGTTTATGTACCTTCAAGTATTTTATTAATATTTATTGTCTCTTCTTTTCTATTGAAATTTTTCCTGTGTTTTTGAATTTCCATGAATTACAATAACGACAAAAATCAAAAAATTGAAAAAACTATAAAATCTACAGATTTTGATACTGATGAAAAATTGATATCTTACGTGTTGACTCCTGACTTATTGATGTCAGGTTTTTCTTGAAAGATCAGGTGAATTGTCAGAAATGCTCTGAAATATGTACGATACGAAAATCAAAAGGAAAGCAGTTGATATTGAAGAAAGGAAGCCCTGAAAATATCAAAAACTACAGACCACTATCAGTACCCTCTATAATATCGAATATGCTATGATTGAACAGCTTACAAACTTTTTAAATAAGTACCGAATAATTGATGAAAATCAACATGGTTTTCGCTCAAAACACTCCACAGTGACAGCGATAACATCTTTCTATGAGGAGATTATTGAAGCCATTGAGGGTGGTGAGAGTCCTACTGGAATCTTTTGCGATTTCAGATGTGCTTTTGACTGCATTCACCATGGCAAGATACTAAACTTGTGTAGGTATGGAATCAGAGGTATTACTTATGATTGGTTTGACTCGTACTTGAAAGACAGATATCAAATCGTTAAAATATCTGAATTAGGGGTGTCCGTTTTCTCATCAATGGATATTAATGCACTAGGAGTTCCACAATGATCCATAATGGGGCCTACGTTGTTTATCTTATATATTAATGATCTGCCCATGACCTTATCAGATACCTCTACCACATTATATGCAGACGACTCATCTACTAAATATTTTTGGTTTGTACCTGTACAACTTCCTTCCATGCAATCTAAGAAGTCTGTCTACTTATTCATTTAAAAGACAACTAAAAAAAGTCTTGATAGATCTGTGTCCTTACTCAATTCAAGAGTTCCTATAAATGATTTAGTTTTAATTTCATACCATTTGACCTACAGATTGTCATAATCAGTTTAATTTTAGTTATATGCTTAGATACTCTCCATGTTTAGTGTTGATAATCTCAATGTTTTGTGTTTTATTTGTAGGAGTTTTTTTCCAAATTGACTTGCTTTCTGATGATCAGGCTTTGCTGGCAAAAATCGATCATTTTTTTAGGAAAATTTGTTCGTGTACTGAGTCATTTCGCACTTAGACTAATTCTACACCTTTTCTGATTCAAGTCATACCTGCTATGTGAGGTGGAAAACAGGCAATATACTTCAGTCCTGACTCCTTCAGAACATCGTACATCCTCTGATGATCTGCGTTCAGTTCTTTGAACATTGGAGGAACCTTTTCTGGTTCCCGAAACAGGAAAGCTGACAAACAAACAGAAACTATTTCTACGTTCAACTCTTTCATGGCTCTGACAATATTTTTCATCCCTTCACTCAGATCGGTGGTGGCTTTAAGGTCATTGTTTGTACCCAGGACGACGACAACGGCTGTAACATTTTTTATTGCATTCAGTACATCTTTATACTCCAAAACATTGCCTTTGACTACTTCGACACTGTTTCTCAAATGGTCGGGCAGTTTAGCTGGATCTCTGAGAAACGCTCTGACGTTGAGACCTGGGAAAAGTTAATCATTATTTACATTATGCAAAATTATATTTTATTCTTTCAATTGAAAATCACAATTATCAAAATGTTTATACCAAAGGTGTACGATAAAATACACAATAGTTCAATATAGTATACACAAGATTGGCATGAAGAATAAAATAAGAATCTCCGAAGTTATTACAAAATGGAATACAGATTGCATAATTTGTTGGACTAGTCAACGTACACACACATATAACCTACTAAAAGCACACATACAAATATAATACTTGTCAATTTTCTAAAAGTAATACAGCACAATTTAAAATCAATATTTTAAACGGGGTTTGTTAAAAAACTCCTGCATCAAATAATTTTTTTTCTGTGCTGGCTATTTTTTTGCATTTATATTTGAAGCATCTACAGTATCATTAAGAATTGCAGTAAATTAATTGCAATGCAGAGAACTACTTCTTAATAATATTTATTTAAATTAATTTTCATGATGATTTGAAATATTAGAAAGAGTGAACTGTGAGTGAAAGCAATGGCCTACAAGCTGACTTGGTTAATGTGACTTGAGCTAACCATATATTAAGATTTTTTGTACTAACCCATAGTAAGTTAGTTCCAGGGTTTCAATTGTTACTACATCCTTCTGCTATCTAATAACAAAGCTTACTTTAACTCAGTTCACTCACTAGTTCTGATGATGCTCTCATGTTATTTTGTTTTCTATTTTAACTCCTAAGAACCAATACTTCTATCATTGATCCTAAAGAGTGAGGATCAATCATAGATGTTGTTTCTTTTTCTGATTTATTCGGCCGTTACTTGACGAAGATTAGTAGTAATTTCATAAACTACACCTCACGATTTGATCTCCACAAACTTTATTTGAAAAAATATATCACATGTTTCGCTAAGCTACTGTGTTAGCGAAACATGTGATATATTTTTTCAAATTAAGCTTGTGGAGATCAAATCGTGAGGTGTAGTTTATGAAAAAACATAGATGTTGGCTTTCAGAATAGCTTCATATAGATTTCTTTCTGAAATAATTGTATCACCAGAATATACAGCGTGACTCACGGTCGATGGTAGGTTAGACGTTTCTGTAAAGAAGAATTGCGACGGCGAATAGTGCGGAGTATTGAAGATCTGGATCCCCAGGAAATTGAAAAAGCAACCACAAGTCACGTACAAAAAAACATGTTAAAGCGTTTAGAATGTAATGGACACACATTTATTGTGAAAATGTGATATTTTCTTTACAATTTTGTTGTTTTGAATCATTCTATTCTGTTATTGTCTGTACTTTCACATATTTTAGCCCACAAAATCTTACTTTTTACCTAGAAATGACTGATTTTTGGTACAGTTGTTCCCTAGAAACTTTTAGCCATAGTTAAGGAAATTATTTTGTAACGTTACAAACTTCCTCTCGTTCATTGGTGTTAATTCAGGATACATTTGGTTGAATTTTTTACACGTTCTGACAATGAAGAAGCGACTTTATTGAGAAAACTTGACGATTCAGGTATAGGGACATGATATATCATCTTGAAGCATTTTTCACCATCTTTCAATTTACCGAGTAATATACAGGGGGTTTAATTTGAAGAAATGAACTTTTGACTACTTTTATGCACAATGGAAATAATAGTAATTTTAGCACGCCGTGTATGATATGGAGTCGATTTCTTGGTGTTATTTGAATATTTCGAGTTTGTCCAAACTATCATCAGAATATCAACTTTTCATGAAATGAGAGTACTGATGTACTTAATTTCAATTAAGGCTATGTTTTGGACCATATTTAGCACAATTTATTTTTTATCTCGAAAACAGATAGAGATAGGTATAGAACATTATCAACAAAAAAGTATTAAAATACCAGACTGATTCCAAAAATGTAATAATATACGGGGTGTTCCATTTGAAAAAATAAAGTTGCTAGGACTTTTTGATGGAAGTGGCAACGCCGCAATGCTGATAATATTTTAGATCGATAAAACAGGTAAGGAAATGTGAGAGGTGAAATTTTCAGAAAAATCATGCTTTGTGTTTTCCAGAAACGTCTAACCTACCATCGACCGTGAGTCACGCTTTATAATTACTTTTCGGGCATGCATTGATGAAAATAATGAAGAGGATTGGAGCTAAACTTGGGGACGTCCAAGTTTATTATGTTTTCTGTCGATTTGATATTGTTCATCCCAAACATTTGTTTCCGATCCTTCAAGCAAAATTCTAGTATTAATTCATTAGCTACCCCTCGTATCCCTGCTCCTTGTAACTTTTTTAGCAGGATAATGTGATTTACCATATCAAACACTCTGCTTTAACCAAAATATATGGCTACTGTATTTTGTTTGCAGTTCAAAGAGCCATATACAATGCACTCCATTTAAAACGAGCCACCCTGAATAACTTTTGGTACAATGATTTGCAGGAAAAATAAAAAAACACGTCAACAATAGTTTACAGGGGGGCACATTTTGACATTCACATTTGGTGTTCCTTCCCCTATCGCACACCCAAAGCATGAATCAATTGTTTTGCATTATCAGATGTTCCATGATGAATAGATTTCATCGAAGTAGAATACATTATGGTCTGAAGCTCATATTTTGGAAGCTAAAAATTATTTGAGTTGAAAAGTAGCCACCCTGAATGAACTTCTGTGCAATCTGTTACCTTAGTTTCATAGTGATTTTTGTGAAACATACTTCAAAAAGTCTTATTTTGCCTAGTTAGGTTTGAATTCGATATTCTCTTCATTTTGTATTTGTCTCATTCTACAATAACGATTTCCTAACAGGTGAAGTTACAATTGGTGTTTCTGTTTTTGTGAATTCTTGAGAAGCAATGGTTTATACGCTTCGAGAACGAATTGAAATAGTGAGTTTGTACTACCAGAATGGAAATAGTGCTAGAGCTGCTGCCCGTATATTCAATAATCATCCAGAAAGAAATGTACAACACAAATACGTCACGGAATTATCGAACAAATTTATGGAAACTGGAGCTGTTAACAATAAAAAGCTCAGTTCGGATGGATGTTTTTGGTTGGTTGGTTGGTAAGTGATATACTTCTACATCGCTCAACCGGTCGTGATGAGACTTGACAGGTATGAGTAATTTTTCATAGAGAAGGTTTTTGGGCTATCAGTTTTTCTATAACTCGCCACTAGATGGGACTGTAGAACACTTTTTTGAAAGCACTGTTCTATAACGATGTGCACGCCTAAGTTCGTTGATTCTGATTCTACCAAAACATTGGAACAGCAGCGATACAGCAACATAGTACTAATTAGTACAACTACCAAATACTACGCGGGCGAAGCCGCGGGCAACAACTAGTCTAATATATAAAAATGTATGTTTGTTGGTAGGTTGGTTGGTAAACTTCTACATAAACTTCTAGATAACTCAACCAATCGTGATGAAACTTGACACGTATAAGTAATTTTTCATAGGAAGGTTTTTAGGCTATCAATTTTTCTGTACTACCGCCACTAGATGGCGCTGTAGAACAATTTTTTGAAAGCACTGTTGTATAACGCTGCGCACGCATAAGTTCGTTGATTCTGATTCTGTCAAAACATTGGAACAGCAGCGATACAGCAACATAGTACTAATTAGTACTACAACTACCAAATTCTACGCGGGCGAAGCCGCGGGCACGCCAAGCCACGGACAACAACTAGTCTAATATATAAAAATGGATGTTTGTTGGTTGGTTGGTAAGTGATAAACTTCTACATCGCTCAACCGATCGTGATGAAACTTGACATGTATATCACGACGTTTCGATTGTTAGTATCCATAATCGTCTTCGGGTGATAACTGGACTTATTCCTCAGAGATCTGACTATTTATAGGTCATTCGAGTGCTTTCACCTATTCCCTCTTCCCTTTCTTCGCTTCATTGGTTTTAGCAGGAGATGACCGTTTGGCAGAAATTGGTCGTTTTTCGCTTGATTAGAGGTTTCCATATGTTACGTATATCTACGCTAGCTTGACTAAACGCGTTGTTGGACAACATATACGCGGCTTCTTTGAATATTCTCCTAAACCAGTATTCCTCTTTGTGGATGATTTCAGCTTGAGCCCACTTGATGTTATGTTGATGTGTCCAAACATGCTCTGCTATTCCAGATTTGCTGGTTTCTCCTCGCTGTGTGTGTTTCTTGTGCTCAGCAATGCGAACTTTCAATGGCCTCTTGGTTTCACCGATGTATCCGGTAAATGCAATTCTTGGAATCGCAGTTCGCATTTGGTGGCCTGGTTCTTGTGAGGCTGCTAGGGATAGCGTTCCCAGATCTCTAGCAGGTCCTGATGTTATACTTGGATCCAATCCTTCTTATCCTTTCCGATAATCCTCTGATGTAGGGAAGTACAAGTACTGGTTGTGGAGTCTTCTCTTTCTTGTGGAGAGCTCTTACCGTCTTCTAGCTAAAGCCTGTTCTACCATCACTCTGGAGTAATCATTCCGTTGAAGATAATTTTTGATGATGCCTAGTTCTAGGGAAACATCTATATATCGAAAACCCACTCACACAGGACAGTATCTGAACCAGAAATCCAACCACCATCAACTAAGAGAGGAATCATCAAGACTCTACTAGACTGTGCTTTCGGGCTCTGTAATACAAAGGTAGGTCTCGAAAAAGAACTAGGCAAAAAAGCCCTGCATGGCTGAATCTAAGGCATCGTCAGGTGTAGCTGACGTGCAAAAACCCTCATATGGGACGGTTGTCGTGGATATCAAGGTGGGAATATTGCAAATTGACTATCCGACTACCTCATTAACAGAGCATATACTTTGTGCCTGCCCCGCTGGGGACCGAATCAGGTCTTTAGAGTTCGGCAGAGCCGCACTCTTACCATCTGGCCTGAAAGACCACTCACCATACAAACTAATCGGCTTCGTTAAGAAACTGAGTTTGTTTGGCCGAGTGAGAATAGGTGTGAGCCACAATAAACCCTTGCGGGTTGCGGTGGAGGGTCGAATAGACCCACTCACTTTGGGCCTAACCTAATCATATGCTTCATCAAATATTTTTGATATCTGGCTTTGTATACTGACATTTCTATAATAATCGATTTCGTTTATTTATTCCTTCTTCAAAAATGACTCATTGATTATGTGGGCCAGTGGTTTACTAATAATTTATTTTACATATTTCAGAGTTTTCCGGAAATGTCATCAATACCTGGTGTTACTTTTCTGGTTGTTTTTTTAATATAATATATTATACAATTTTGTACGAGTTAATAGGACATAAAATAACAGTACAATGATAATTGGTAACTTTATTTAATTTTGTCAATGTTTGCATAAGGACTTGGTATATCCATGAAGTGGTTGCTAAATGGATTACATATATACTTGGGTTATTGCAATGAAGAGGTATTATTATGCAATCTTGGATAAGCTCCTGTTCACATTGATGTTTTTCTTTTTCATTATGTTAGTACTTTCTCTTCATATAATATTATCGCCACTCAGTAGGTACTCACTTTGCTTATTTCGAAAGCATTTTTCGCTGTTTCACCCGACCTCATCCAAATAATGAAAAAAACTCATTTGAAAACTTAATATTTATGAAAAAAAATGAGAAAAATACGCTCAGAAATGAACTAACATTGAATAATACGGAGAAAAATACAAAGAATCGCCAGCTAATTCAACCAATTTTTTATTGTTTCCTTCGATCTCATTTTTACAGTATTCGCCATTTTACATAATGTTCTTTGAAGTTCTCACAGCTCTTGAGTATACCAAACTTTTTTTTTTCGTTAGTTTTAATTTTTCTTAAAGAAAATAATGGGATATCATAGTGATATTTGAGGATATTAAAACATGTATTTCCAAAGTAGGAGCGTTATGAATATTCACCCACTGTTCTTTGAATAGGTTGCCAAATACTATCATGTTATTTTCAGAAAGACCTCGTTTGTGAAATCATTGTTTGAATTTGTTTGACATATTTGAAATGAATGGTCAGAAATGTTATTGTTTTTGACTACTTGTGTATGCATCTCAAGGTTAGAGATCAGATTAATGCAAGTTATGTTATATGGTTTTCCATTTTAAATTCATTAAATGAATTCTTTAGAGTTGCTCTTTTCAACAAAAATATTTCTAGCGAAGTCACCACAAACTATATAGTAGGTTAATAGGTAAATATATATCAACCATCAGATCATACAATTTATCTATTAACATTCTAAAATAACCATTTGGTGTTCTATAAATAGTAATGACAAATAATAATCTAGTACTACTCTCACCAAAGTTTACCCTAACTATTGTCAACTCAAAATGTTTTTCAACTTTAGTATGATGATTTTTTCAACCTTATGATTACCGTCTAATTCTCAAATTCCTTGTGAAATTAATTTTTATATAGCTGAAAACTGTTTTATATACAGCTATAACAGTTAAACATATATTGTAAAATAAGAGATAAGGAAAAATTGTAAAATAAATTTAGGTTGGTATACCTGCATGGGTGGTACACCTGGATGGTTTACCTGAATGGGATATCTATATAGCATAAATAGGGTTAGCTTCGCGTTAGTCTCTAGTTTTAATCTTTCTCTTTGAAGATGATCACTTGGTGATCGAAACTCGTGTCGAGGTGTTAAAAATAACGATTTGGTGTTGGGAAAAAACTCCAGTAATATTCAAAAGTAAATAAAAATAATCTAAGCGCTCGACCAAAAACATCGAAAAACTGATAGTTCAAAGGAAACACAACATTCTTTAAAAAAAAATCGATTTTAGAAATCCCAATATCAGAACAAACATTATTCAAAGTAATGACACCCTTTCTCCATGTGTAAATATAAAACAATTAGATAAAATTAGTAATTTTCCAAACAAACCTAGAAACCTAGTTTTCTGAGGATATTTTAAACCTTAAATCGTTTATAGAATATTATTTCAATAAAAATTGAAGAAAGTAGTAATTCCGATAACACAAGAACACTTCAAAAAGTTATTCTTTAAAATTGATTCAAAGTAACTTTCGCGTAAAAATATTTTGGAGAAAGAAGAACGAATTGAAAAAATAAAATACTATCATTACTGGCCCAACACGATTAAAGACATAATGAACTGCATATATACATGTATAACATGCCAAAAATCCAAATAATCATGTTACGAAGTTTAATACTACACCTATTAGGGAATATCCATTGGAACATATGTATATCATTAACATATATGTTGATGTGTTTTGATAAAATTATATTTTAAAAAATCATTGATTGTATCTCACGTTTTGCTCAAGCATAACGTATCCAACTGAATGAAACTAATATTTTATATGGTTTATTAAAATGCATTACCTATCATAGTACTCGTATTCCCAATGAAATAACCTGCGACAGGCATTGACTTCAAGAATAGCCTCAATGAAGATTTTTGCAATCTCTTCACTATATAACTCTGAAAAACCTGAATAATAATAATACGAATTTAAGTGTTTTGAAGAAATTAAAACTTTGATATTAGAATCTCCCTATTGACCAATTACAACACAAATGTTATATGCAATTGGATTGTGACACAAAAATTGAAACCTAGCAATCAAAATATCATTGAAGCAAACTTAAACCAAAACAAAAGATAACAAAGAAACAAATTGTTTCAGAATATAACGCTTTACCTTCTACTTCTAGGGATCCCCGCAATGACAGAACAACAAAAATCAATGTCAAGGGTAACTAATCCTATTCTCCCCTTTTCTCTAGAAAAAGCAAAAACAACTTCCCAAAATCATTTATTTTTAAAATGCTTCGACTTAAACAATTCGATCCTCCAATAAAAATTATAGGTAACAATGCAGAAACAATAGCCGACTTTATTTCAATAGAGCAAATAAATCAGTAGATAGAACAAGTAAATGGCTCACTGGCACTTTAGACAATGGAGAAAAACATGTTACTTCATGATTTATAAAACTATCACAAAAAAAATATGAACAAAGACACGAGTAGTTTGTGACAAATTGTCAACTAGTTGACAACCAAATGAAAAGTATAGTTGAAAATTTGAAAAAGTGCATGCTTTTCTTAAGACTTCAAAAATTACTTGATACCATTATTATAGATAGCCAAAACGAAACAAAACAAAACATTGATGAATTAAATATTATTCATAGTAAAATATTACCATTATCAGATATTAAAGACCTAACAAATACAGTTTACCAAATTTTGAGAATATTAGTGATGCAATAAATTATAATCCATTTTCTGATATTTCTGGGAAATGTTCATGGTTATTTCCATTCATTCCCGATTCTAATCTTCGATCTAGCCATAATTCTCTTGAAACATATCCTTAACTCAACTTACCACCATTACGAAGATGTACCGTACACGAGAATAGAAGATTCACATCTCTACTCGTATCATGTAGATAATCTAATCTCCAAAGATTATTTACAAAAATTATTAAATGAAAATGCCCACCACAAACCTTCAATATATCAGTTTCCTGCTTCAAAAGCCATATTCTTGACCTAACTATATATATATAGTGGTGTGGTGCACAGGAGATAACCAGGTAAGTCTGTCTCTGTACACCAGAGAGTGTTACCGGAATCATTTGCTGGCAGTTTGTCCATACTTCATCACTGGTCCAACAATCATGACATATATCCAATGGATATTTTTGGGATGAGTTCCAAGATTTTCCTCAGAAGCTTTGACATGTCCATAGGGGATAAACCAGTTCTAGCTTTTTCAAGTTATCGTTCTTGCCGAGGTTTTTTATAATACCTAGATACCTGACCTCACCTCACCTCAACCTCACCATTGAAGGAAAGTAGAATTGATCATCCTGGTGGGATTTGTAGACATCTGCTCCGTCTGGCACTAATGATGAACTTTGTCTAATGCACTTTCCTATGTAGATCTTGATAAGATGACAAGATTGTCTACATAAGCTTGCAGATCTACCTCTTCTGTTAAGGACGTCAAGCAAAATGTACGTTAGAAGGGAGAATAAGCACCTCCAGTAGTACCCTACAATCCCTGTTGACCTTGAAACAGGGAGTCCCAGTAACTTTCCTGTTGTAAGCATGGGTTAGATCCGGCCAGAAATGCTGATGAGATCCATTTTCTTACCAATAAAGTATGTATTGAAGGATATTTCTATTAAAAATGGAAAAAAGCAATGCGCAAATGCAACTTTTCAATAATGACACTGGTAAACCATCAGGACTATGAAAATTTCAATAGAAACGTTCAATTCTCAAATATTTTGCTGTATGCCATATATCCCTTGAAGTTTTTTCCTGAAGTGTTGGTGAGTATAATGTAGGTAAATACATATCTGAACTGAAAATAAGGAAGACCACATAATTTGCCGACTAATCTGCAAATCTTGAATTGTTATAAGTTTTCTTCTAATTAAATATAGATGTTTATATGAGTGTTTTCTTTTTTATCTTATTTATCATTTTGCTAAAAACATGTTCTATATAAACTTTCTGTATTAAATATATAGAGAGTAAAGAGATATATTGTACTAGTATTAAACCTTCGCTTCAACTAGTAATCTATTATTTGTAAGATTTAATTTAAAAAAACTCGCCTTTTTTTACGGCTGCTTCTACGGCACAAATACCTGTCATACCGGTAGATCCGAAAATCACGACTTTTTCCATGGTTATGAATGTTTCTACACTTGAAATGACTGAATGACTGGTTCGAGAAGGATTAAAATAATTTTAATACATCATCCTGACATTGCACTTCCTAATTTCGTAATAACAAATTGTAACTGTCAAGGCGTCATTGTAGCCAACATGTTCCAACAAAAATTATCTTATTGTAAATTTTTTAAGAATGTCGGTATTTTCAATAGTACATTTTACCAGAAATGGAATTAATAATTCAATTCGTAGATATATGTGAGTACCATCTCAATCCGGGTTGAACCCGTCTATAGTTTTCATTTGTTTTTCTTCATGTCTTTTTTGGAAATTATGGCTAGGTTATATAAATAAGTATAATATATTTGAACTGAAAAATATTATATAATTCAAATGTGGGATTGATTCCTTAAAATATTATCCTGAGGATAAAATCGATTTTGGAATAAATTTTTTTTCAGCTTGGTGTAATACCTACAGTTGCTCAAATGACTTGAAACATTAGACGGTTCGCTTCTCCACGGCAACAATACAAATTCAAATGTTTTCTGCCAACAGAAAATGATTTCTGATTCTCACCATTAATCAATTCTTTTCATGAAAGCAAAGCTGCTTTGATACAGTTATTCCTAGCGTTCCATCAAAGTAGTTCATATAGAAATGAACAATCTTGATAAAATCGTGATCAAAGTGCACAAGATTGCCGAAAATGGGACTGTGGTATATTCCTCCAGATTCGAAATCGACCCGAACATGAAAGAACCAGTTTCGAGCACCTATCTCTCGCCGGAAAAAGTAAGTTTTGCGTTGTCTTCAGAAAATAAACTGATTCTCAATTACCAGCGCTTCGAATCTGACGAGGAACGCCTGAAATGTCTAAAACTTAACGATGACGAAGAAGGGGTTATGCCGATATCTGGTAAACTAGTCTTGAATATCCCGACCATGATAAGATGTCAGAATTGTGAAACTAATTTTCCCACTAAATACCAGTATCAAAGACACCAGTGCGAATTCAACGCAGACAAAGTAGTTTTCAAAACGGAATTTGACCACTCGGATAAAGACGTTCGGGTAAAGTATGTCTGCTCTATCTGCGAGAAACAGTTTGTGAGCAAGAATAACCTGGACCGACATCAGTCCAGTCACGAGAGCACACAGGAAAACATTTGCGAGCATTGCAACAAACACTTCGTGAGTGAAAACAGACTCAGAATACATAAGGAAAACCACTGCAAGAAAGCCGGAGATATATCAAAGTTCTATAGGAGCGACGTCACGGTTTGGAAGTGCAAAAAGTGTCACGAGGTTTTTTCGTCCCCTGTAACGGCCAACTACCACGTGACAATTTGTTCGGAAGTCGTTCTCGAAACTAGAGAGCCTGCTGAGGAGATAGATGTACAAGACAGGGAAAATGAAAAGGATGCCGTAACTGACAAAAGAGTTGAAAAAATGTTGACGGAAATCCTGCTTCAGTGCGAGTTTTGCAACAGAACGTACGCCGATAAAAACTTACTGCTTATGCATCAAAAAAAACACACCACTTCAAAAAATTACGAATGCGTCAACTGTTCCCAAGTGTTTGATTCCTATACAGCTGCTTCACAACACTGGATGAAAAAATGTTCAGAATACGTGAGTTTGTTTTACCTCCCGAAACTGACCTATTGCGAGTATTGCGACAGGACCTTCAAGTCCCACGAGCTCCTATACACGCACAAGATAAAAAAGAAGCACTACACTTCGAAGGTCCACGAAGCCAACTTCGAAGAAGAGCCTATTTCCGCACTCAAAGAAAAATATATAGACAACAAGGAGATTCTTAATAAGCTCATCGAGGACGTCTTGAAGACTCTCGACGTTCCAGTCGAGAAGATTGCCATCGCACGAAACTCCACGAACGACGAAAATGTTGAAAGGAATCTTGACATCGAGGGGAACCCCATGATCGAAATAAGCGAAATTAAAACTGAAAACGAGGATATGGAGTGCATAGAAAATATCAGTGACGTGGTGGAGAAGAAGAAGAGAGGCAGAAGGCGCAAGTGGAGTAGGAGCCAGAATGGAGGAGCGAAAAAAACTTGTTCGGAGGTCAATCAAGGTTTCAAGTTCCAGTGTGAACGATGTGTCAAAGTATTTGATAATACTGGAGATTTGGAAACACACCGTGAGAAGGAACACGCTTCTAGTTTCTCATGTGAGGAATGTGGACAGGTATGTTTCGTGTTACTATTACATTTGAGTTTTTCGTTATGAAATTTTCAATTGAAATGGGAATAGGGAACATGCATATGTTTTAGTTTTGAAATATTGTTTATTTCAACAAAGCTGTGAAAATCGCTGAAACTTACAAATTAAACTTAATTTTTTTCATAATACAATATTGAACATTCCAAACCTGCCAAAAACGTATTCTTGGCGGTAGGTGAACAAATGGATCGTTACTTCGATTTTTCACTTTCGGTTGTCAATTTTTTTTTCAAAACAGATGAACACGTTGAACTGGTTGACGAGTAAACAGTATAAAAAATATGAACCATCTCAAACAAAAAATAAGAAATGTATATAATGGCATTACTCACACCAATCTTGCTAGAAAATTGCAACATGATCAAATATGGACCACCCACACTTGATATTTTTATATATATTCATTTAAAATAACTAGCATCATCAGTGACAACAATCGAAAAGGAAAACAATTTATTTCATTGAATAACTTTTTTCGAGATCAATTGCCCTAACACCAAACTGATATTTTTGCACTCGACGCGCGTTTCGCCAACAAAGTTAGCATCCTCAGGAGAAGAAAACTGATCAATCAATCAATATCAATTTTTTTCTCCTGAGGATGCTTACTTTGTTGGCGAAACGCGCGTCGAGTGCAAAAATATCAGTTTGGTGTTAAGGCAATTGGTCTCGAAAAAAGTTATTCAACTTTCACACCAAAGGTTCCAATCTCATCGTTAATTTATTTCATAATGAATTATTGGGGAAAAATAAAACCAATACAGAAAATGAATTCTATATGACAAACTACTTTGAATGCTCGAATTGAAAACCTCTTTGTGTCGAGAAAATTCAATATTTTATGTATGCCCAGATAAAAGTTGAAGTAGGGTCTGGGGATCGAGCTGGCTATGCAATTGATCCATTGTTACCAATTTATTTTGTTGGGAACATTGCATTTTAATGTCCCCTTAATATTTATGTATTATGTAAATAGGTCTCGTCTTGTTGATATTGTATTTCACCGCGGATGTTCGGTGGCAATTCATCTAAGTAGTCATCAAACTCCACATTATTCAAATGCTCATCGTAAAAGAAAGGAACTAGTTTATTTGTATGTAAATTTCCCTACCAAACATTCATTCTGATCCTTTCCTAGAAATTGGTTTTTCTATGTTAATGATCTTTCGCATTATTCCACCTGATGAATGTGTCTCCATCCATATTATTTTTCAACAAATATATCCAACTTTCCTATTTATACGTCTTAACCACCTCCGACTCTCCTTCCGTAATCCCTTTCATTAAGGTGATCTTAGGAACACATCAAGTAGAAAACAAATCGAGCACTACATTCCTGGGTATACACATTGACAGAAAGTTAGGGTTTGAGGAACATATAACGTCCTTAAAAAAAAGACTAGCATCGGGTTGTTATGCTATTAGAGTAGTGACAAACGAGCTTGGTACAGCTATTGGCAGAAACACATATTTTTCACTCATAGAATCCCATATTAGATACGGACTACCCTTTTGGGGTTTTTGTAGGAAAACCTTATGGAATTCTGTGTTCATTTTACAAAAGAGAGCAATCCGTTATTTGTACAAGGCCAAAGCAAGGGATCACTGTAGACCAATATTCATCAAGCATCAAATTCTTACGCTTACATGCCTTTTCATTATGGAGACTGTATGCTTAATTCACAACAGACATTTATCGAATGATAACCCATTAAATCCCAGGCACACCAGAAATAACTGCCATATCTCCCTGCCAATACCTAGGTCGACTCAAATTAAAAATTCAATAATATATGAATGCAAAAAAATGCGTATTATGACCTGCAGGAATATTACAATGACCATTTTTAATCATTTATATTTGCATAAAGATATAGGTTTCAACTTCATGTCTAGATATTGTTTTGTAATTAGTTTCGAATATATGTGAGTGAATGTCATTTTCATTGTTATCTACTCACTTTGTCAATAAGAATAATTATTCTTGGACAATAAAGTACAGTTTGATTGATTGATTGATTGAACTTTGCGTATGCTGGAGCATTTTGATTTGTTCTTTTAAAAATATTTCTGATATATTTTACAGAAATCCCTAGCTCGTGGGTAATTTATCGCAAAGAATAATCTTGATTGGAAATATTTTTGTAACTGTCCGTAACAGGCTGTTTTTTTAGCTGATACCACTATTGCTCTCTCGCAAACGGTGAATCCTACAAGAACGGGTAAATAGAACAGAAGTTGCCTATTTAGGGATGCAAGTTAATGGTATTTTCAGAGATCGATAAAATCACCAACCGTTTCTGAAATATTCGCGAATATTTCAGCGCAAAAAACTGAAAATGACAGATTTAATTTTTTGGCAAAGGAACTTTTTGCTTCATTTCATTTATTTTATAATCTGATTCAACCTACCTTCCAATGCGACGTTTCGTTCATTGAACTCTATCATCAACATATTTTTTTTTTACGAACTTGTGTGCTTTTTTTTAAATTTTGGTAGTCATTGTAATCACAAATTCAATGATATATTACAACATATGTATTTCTCGACGAGAAATCAAATTTCTGAATATCGTTGCAAGCACATAGTAATACGCCTCGTTGAAAAAGAAACAGTTGCGAAAGAGACTGTAACGAAATAATAAATCGTAGAAAATGAACATCAGAACGGAATGCCTCACGCGATACCGCTTTAGATGTTCAAATTGTCTTCCATCATTCTCTTACATCTGAGGAGTGATAGCCGTGCAGGCTCTCCTGATTGAATCTTCCAATTCCTCAATATTTTCAAAATTTGTTCTGAATACTTCATCTTTTATGAAGCCCCACATCGAAAAATCTTAAAGACAAAGATCCGGTGAACGTGGTGGCCATTCAATAGGACCATTAAGTCCTATCCATCTTCCTGGAGTTGTTGTATTGAGGAAATATCTGCACATTCTCCTGCGATGTGGTGAAGCTCCGTCGTGTTGGAAATATTTTCATTTTTTCATTAGGCTAAGTGGCAAATCTTCTACAAACTCGATTAGAATCCCTGATAAGAAGTCCAAGTATGAATCTCTGGTCAGATATGTTGTAAAAAAGTGGGGGCCAATAATTTTATTATCAAGAACTCTAAGCCATACGTTAACACCATAGATATCTCTTTTGAAAATTTGTAACTCTATATAAATATTAATTTTCTTGTCGCCGGTGATGATGTATATTCCTGTTGAACCATCCGTTAGTGGTAAATCTACTTTAAACACACCACACATTTTTTTGCTAATTTCATTATTTTTGCGAAATTTCCTGAAGAGCCTTTACAGAAAACTTTTCTCCCGTAGAAGTCTTTCAAACGCAGCTTTCCTGACTCGATAAAGCTTGAATTTATTTTTCTTTAAAATTTTCCGTACAGACGTAGTGGATATGGCCGAATTATGAGCAATCTCCCTCCGGGATACTTCTTTGTTCTCAATTTTTTTATTTTCCACAAATCCTAAATCAAATGGATGTCACTTTATCATTATTGTGAATTTTAATGAACTCACTTAAGACTTCGATTTCATTATCGCCACGACGTTCAGTAACCGTATATTTTCGATACGTTGAAAATATCTATGATTAGGAGAGAAAGTTTTTGGCTTTCTACTACTCCATCTTGATACAAAAAATATGGGGGAATCTTCCAAAGAAAGGAAGGAAGTAATCAATTTGAAAATAAGTANGGGATTTCGTTCTTCCGATTCGGAAAGCAATTGGACGACGCTATACACGGTGTTGATTTTCCAGATGTCAGCCTCTTCTGTTAGAACACTATGAAACTCCGCATCCAAACAAGCCAGTTCTTGTTCTTCAGGGGCCTAATTCTGTGGAGCACCCTGCGTGTTCTGATTGACTCCATTGGTGGCATGATGCGAGTCTCCCCTACAGCCGTGCCAACAAGTGGTAGAACTGTCACTTCTACCACTTCGTTAGCAGGCTGGGAAGGAGCTATATAGCCCTGCCACCAAATATAGGACACGTAATCCCTAAGATTTTGAGCGGAAAAGGCGGCATGCTCCGGATATGTTCCACACCACAGATCATGAGTGGTGGCGCCACTCACCAAAGGCCAAGGGGTGATAGTGGCCATCCCAATAAGCCAATGTCATTGTTCGAATGTAGGGTGAGTATGGAAGGGGAGTGTTCGATTCTGTTGTCCAAGTTTCCATCACAGTGCTTTTTTAGGTGAAGTTATTCAAAGAATGGTTCATGCAGTGGAGCGTTGAACAGAAGGAAAACTTTTTAACGCAAATCTCGGAAATAGGTTCTGTTTTTGCAGAAAAATTGAATGATGAGATTCAGAATGGTGGCACTCATCAGTCAAATCACGAATTGGTTAACGGAGAGGAAATTTTGGAAGATTGAAAATTCTATAGGTTTAAACTAATTCGAATACTTATACTTTACTCATATATTAAGGATCTGTTCATTAACATTGCATTTTTAGGGATTCGATGGTTTTTCAGCTATATCTTCAACTAGATCTTATATAAAATGCAAACGTTCTTGAGGTCTAATATTTGATCTTGAGCAGATGTATTTCCTGGTGATTTATTTATTTATTTTTGGGAAAGGAGTTACTTTTTAGTGGATTGTTTATTTAATGCTGGTGATGATGCGAATAGTATTTGATGTATATTTTCCTGGACTATTTTTAATCCTTTTTCAATAAGATAATTCATATTTGGAATTTAAATAATAATAATAATGAATTTATTCAAGCGAAGACATAAAATACAATGTT